CCCCCCCCCAGCTCACCTCAGTCTCCACCTTCTTCCTCTCCTCCAGGTCGAGCCGATCCTGATCAGCCTTTTGGTCGCGGTTGAATTTCTCGAGCTCCTGGGCCAGCGTGGCCGCTCGTTTGCTCGCCTCCTCCTTCAGCCGGTGGTACTTCTTCACCTGGGCCAGCACACCTGCATCAGCACACCTGGAGGGGCCTCCTGCAGCCACGGAGGCTTCCCCAACTGCCACGGGGTCAGCACAGCTGGATCAGCACACCTGGGATCCAGGGAGCCCAAATCGCCCAATCTCACCTGGCCCAGCCTTACCTGGGTCTCCTCCAGGGTCAGATCTCTCCTCCATCCATCCCAAATCTCACCTGTCCCAGCCTCACCTGGTTCTCCTCCAATCCCTCCCAAATCTCACCTGTCCCAGCCTTACCTGGTTCTCCTCCAGGGTCAGGTCCCTCCCCTGGCTCTGGCTCTCCTCCATCCCTCCCAAATCCCCAAATCCCACGGCATCAGCACACCTGGATGAGCCCACCTGGAGCTCCAGGGAGCCCAAATCTCACCTGTCCCAGCCTTACCTGGTTCTCCTCCAGGGTCAGATCTCCCCTCCAATCCCTCCCAAATCCCCCAATCTCACCTGTCCCACCCTTACCTGGTTCTCCTCCAGGGTCAGATCTCTCCTCCATCCCTCCCAAACCCCCAAATCTCACCTGTCCCAGCCTTACCTGGTTCTCCTCCAAGGTGAGATCCCTCCCCTGGCTCTGGCTCTTCTCCATCCCTCCCAAATCCCCAAATCCCACAGGATCAGCACACCTGGATGGGCCCACCTGGAGCTCCAGGGAACCCAAATCTCACCTGTCCCAGCCTCACCTGGTTCTCCTCCAGGGTCAGATCTCTCCTCCATCCATCCCAAATCTCACCTGTCCCAGCCTCACCTGGTTCTCCTCCAAGGTGAGATCCCTCCCCTGGCTCTGGCTCTCCTCCATCCATCCCAAACCCCCCAAATCTCACCTGTCCCAGCCTCACCTGGTTCTCCTCCAGGGTCAGGTCCCTCCCCTGGCTCTGGCTCTCCTCCTCCATGCGTTCCTCGAACTCCTGCCTGGCTTTCTCCACGGACAGCATTTCCTTTTCCAGCTCATCCATGTCCGCCTTGCGTTTCTTGTATTGTTTCTGGGCGTTCTGCAGGGATTTCCTGGCTGCCTCCAGCTTCTTGATCTTGTGGGAAGTGTTTTCCTTGGCCTTGATGTACTGAGGCCTCTTCTGGTTCAGCTCCGAGTCCTTCTCCCTGGGGGGGAAAAAAAACTTCCATCAAAATCCCTTTCCCTGGATTTTTTTTGGGGGGGGGGTTTGGGGAATCCTTTCCTACCCCACACTGGGATAATCCCATGGGGGAAGCACCAGGAGGGCGCTGGGGGAGGAGTTTTCTGGAT